TTTAATCAATTTACTGAAGTAATTGGCCATAATTCTTATTGGAGAAGGTAGAAAGAACATTTCTTCTTGGCTGTGTCTAAGAACCATAGAATCTGAAAGACTTTTATTTGGGACAGGTTTCCTATCTCTAACCAATTGGTTCAGAGTCTGAAACTGAGATCTGAAATCTAGGCCAGCCAAGGCTAGATAGTCATAAAGGATAATTGCTCATGGTTTCCCAGGAACCGTTCTGTGGTTTATGTAGTGGCTACAAGCTAAGTAATATTACTAAAGCTGCTTGATGTTTTTGTCCTGTGGAAAACCTAAGATGCAGACATTTATTAGTTAGTGTTAACAAAAGAATTACTACTTTTACAGTTCTCTAGCTTAGTCTGTTCAGATGTTAATCCTCTCCTTGGTTATTGTAATTGTGATACTGTTCCACATCAATAATTTCCGGGCTGTATCTTCCCTATTGCTGTTAGTGTAGAATGAAAGGAGCAGCCTTTCCTAGCAGCACCTTTGGCTTTCTGAGGAATACTTTGTCTCCTGTTAGACTCACCAGCATATTGTGTGGGCTTTGGAAGTTCGTGGTGCACCAGATCTGCCTACAGCACTTAATAGGGTCCCACCATGCTCTCTCTCTGAGCCTTGCAATACTTTTCACCACATCTGCCATTCTGCTGGGTTTAATTACTCAATTTGAAATGTACTAAATGCCAGATAGTATATAATCATTAAATAATATTTGATTTCATATTAATCAGCTACTATATAGTCATTTAAAAGTTGATTTAACCATAAGTAAATACTAATTGAGTACTATTGTCTATTAAACATTAGCTAGCCATGAACTATTTTAACCATTTTAATTATTTGGTTTTGATTATTTAATTTTCTCAGAAAGTAAAATGTAGCCATTTCTCCAGAAGAATCTCAAAGTTACAAGCAAACGAGAAATCCATTGGGTTGGTGGAGCAAGGAAGGTCTCATTGGGAATGAAGCAAAAACAGCTAATGCATGAGCACTGTGAGAGTCAGCTGAACTCAACTTGAGCGGACATAGAGACCTGTGGGCTTTTTAGTCACACTGGGCAACATCATCCCTAGAGACCTTCTTTCTACTAAAAGTCAGTAGGGTATAAGTACTTGAATCAGACTCTAAGAAAGCATGCTTGCACCTAACAATCAGGACTGGGTAATTTCATCCTGAATTCATCTCTTTTTAGACCTTGAAGTGCACATCAAGTTGTACATATCTTGGTAAGTAGCTGAAAGCCCCAATGCGCCCTTTATGGATCTCATCAAAGGTCACATGATGATGAGTAGCTGATTCTCCATACACTGTTTTCATTTAACCCTTTCATTGCTTCTATCTGAGGATGTACTCAACGAAGAGAAACAGCCTGCTTAGTTGATAAATAGCTGTATTATTTAAATGTCACAATGTATAAACTCAATAAAAGCATTATTGAAGTAGTTTTAAATAGACTGTAAATACCTCAGCAAACTATTGTAGTTTGGCAAGAAAATTTGGTAGGGAGTACAATGGAGAAAATTAAAAGAGAAACCATGTCTCTCCATGTTTTTCTAGGAAGCACTCTTTGGATGTCAAGCACTCCTTGGGGTAGAATGAACAGGAAGGTTGAGGAAATGAAGCCTGATCCAATTGGGTTTAATACCTAAGTCAGACAAAAGAAAGACTCCAAGGAATCAAAGCAGCACCTTCTTTGTTTTATTTACCTTAACAGTGTTAGCATTCAACACACATTGAACCCTCTGTCCTTGTGGGAGACAATTTTGAGCAATACTACTTCACTATATACACAAACCATCAAAGCATGACCCTTCCACAATCCTGTTGAAATACAGCTTCAGTTTTTTCATTGGAGGCTCTTCTCATTCCCCTCAGATGTATATTAGAAAGAAGAGGTAGGAAGAAGTAAATATGCTTTCTAACAGACTGCATTCTATTGATGGCTGAGGCATTTAGCTTGATGGTATTAATGTTTAAGCCAGACAGGTAATAGAGTATCTTTAATGACAACAACTATTTAGTCAAGTCTTCAGGACTATAAGTACATTGTGCTAATGAGTGAAAATATCACAATAAAACATCTTGCTACAGATAAATTATCATTCAAAAAAAAAAGAACAGAATACTTAAAAATGGAAGCAAGTAGAAAATCATAGTGTTAAGAAATCACCTACATTTTGAAAAATACTGCCAAATTATGACAACATCGATGGTAAAATCTAAAAAATTGTTCTAATGATTGTTATATAAATTTGTTTATATAAATTTGTTTTATATAAATTTTTTGTCTTTTTTTTCCCAGGGCTGAGGACCGAACCCAGGGCCTTGTGCGCGCTGGGCGGGTGCCCTTCTACTGGGCTAAACCCCCAGCCCCAAATTTGTTTTATATAAATTTTTTAATCACTAATTACTTTATAAGAGATTATGACCTAATAATTTTCCACTAATCTGACTGTTTCTCAATGTGTGCTTTGATAGTTATGTACAGAAAATGGTGTCTAAGTTTTGAAGGAAAAATTTATTCAGTGTAGTATACTAAGCCCATTCAGATATATCACTCTCTAGTCTACAACAAACTTACATTAGTACTAGATATAAATACTAAATGATAAAAGCATCCCAATTGCTTCTTTCTACAAATGGAGCTGTAGATGCTAGATAATTGCTACACTGATGACAGATAAGTAAGTAGACAAACAATAGATAGATAGATGATGGATAATAGACAGGATTTAGTGTAAAAATACTTAATTGTGGCAAATTGAGACAAATTCATGGGCCCACAGGGCTCCAACCTTAAAGATGTTACTTTCTGGCAGTTCTCTGCCTGAATGTTGCTTGCCATGGTAATGTGTCATGTCTGAAAAGGATCAAAAGTAAGATACCCAATGTTGGATGTACACCATATAACAAGTTAGATATTGCAGCAGATGGGGGAAAATGATGAAAGTGTACTTAGGTTTGCTTTTGAGAAAAGATCCCTTAACTATTCTTGAAATCCTAGTAGTTAATCAAATTCTGGGAATTAGAAAGAACCAATGACGATGTCTAATCTGGGAGCATGAATAAAAAAATACATCATCAAACTCAATAAAATGCCAACTGAAGATGGGATTACAAATAAGATTTTAAAAAATTATTATAAAGTTAAACACTGAGGAAGATGCTCTCCAGTGTGAATAATAAGTGGGGAAATGAGAAATTGGTCAAAGGATTCAGTTTCAGTAAAACAGTAGAAATAATTTTTTTCATATTCATGCATAGCATAGTGACTCTAGCTAATGAGAATTTCTATATTTCAATGTCACTCAAAAGAGGCATCTCAACTGGTTTGAATACAAATAATGTAAGAATATGGGGTGATGGATTTGTTAAAATGACTAAAGCAATCATTCCACATTATTTATTTATTTTTGTTGGTCCTAGGGCTTGAACCCTGGTCCTATCCATTGTCCCTTAGCTCTTCAGCTCAAGGCTGGCGCTCTACCACTTGAGCCACAGCGCCACTTCCAGTTTTCTGGTGGTTTATGGAGATAAGAGTCTAACAGACTTTACAGCTCTGGCTGGCTTTGAACCGCAATCCTCAGATCTCAGCCCCCTGAATAGCTAGGATTACAGGCATGAGCCACTGAAGTTATGAATATCAATATTTAAAGATAAGTTTGTCACTGAAGATAAAAATACATTAAACCCAATATGAATGCATAATAATAAAAAAGAATGAAAGTTAATAGAGTAATTAGTAAACACAAATTGAAATGCATGCCATTTAAATTAATTCAGAAAGAAAAACATTTATTATATTTATTCAAAAAGAAAAATATATAATCAAAATGAAACTCAACAGTTTGGATGTACTTAAAACCAGACACAAACAAAATAATTAGGAAATAAGAAAAGAATTAAAATAGAGTATACTAGAAAATATAACACGAATCAAATGTTCTAAAAGGTAAATAATCTAACTACAAAGCTATGCTGAGGCTTTTCAAAGCTATATAAACTGCTTAAATATAAAATATAGAAGGCAACATGACTGACCTATCTGGAAGTGAAGACATAAATGGCTCTTACCATTGTATTAATCACCGAGATCTATGTTGTATAAGAACAGACTCTGATGATAAATTAATTTAACATCCCTTCCTAAGCATCATATATTAGAATGTAGAACACTGGTGATACAGAGAATAACCTATTTTCCTTAGTTACTATTATAAAAATAGAAACATGCCAGGTGCTGCTAGCTCACACCTGCAATCCTAGTTACTCAAGAAGCTGAGATCTGAGGATCATGGTTCAAATCAGCCAGAGCAGGAAACTCTGAAAGACTCTCACCTCAAATTAAGCAAAGATAGAAAAAAAAGAGAAAGAAAGAAAGAAAGAAAGAGGGAGGGAGGGAAGGAAGGAAGGATGGAAAGAAGGAAGAAAGGAAGGAAGGAAGGAAGGAAGGAAGGAAGGAAGGAAGGAAGGAAGGAAGGAAGGAAGGAAGGAAGGGAGGAAGGAAGAAAGGAAAGAAGGAAGGAAGGAAGGAGAAACAGAGAGAGAGATAAACCATTGAAAACATGTTTCCTGGAGTATAGTTTATTGAATTATTTTTAACACATCTTCATCAAGACATAGGTTATAATATTTACATTAAAAGGCAAAACTGTCAGATTTTCCACTGGAAAATAAACATTTTAATGATTATCTTAATTCTATAATACTCCTTATATAAAGCTGGTATCAGTTATGTAAGAATAGATTTTGATGACAAGTAGTTTTATTTTTCTCTCAGTTTTTAATTTAGCTGGATTGTGATCTGTACCTCTTTGGCTATCTATTTTTCTCCATTTAGCTTTCTATCTAAGGAATATGTCTGTATCACTTGGTTTGACAAGAACAAAATAATATCAAGAGAATAAAGCCATGCATTTTGGCCAGTCCCTTTGCACTGCTACAATTCATCTCTGCTGAGAACTTTCATCTGATTTCTCATACATACCATCATGTCCAACTTCAACAATTCTAGAAATGAAATTTTCATGTTCTATTTGGTTGGGATCCCAGGGATGGAGCCTGCCCACATTTGGATCTCCATACCCATATGTCTCATGTACATTGTGGCCATCTTGGGGAATTGTATCATCCTCTTTTTCATAAAAACAGAACCCTCTTTGCATGAACCCATGTATTATTTCCTCTCCATGCTGGCTCTCTCGGACCTTGGGCTGTCTTTCTCCTCTCTCCCCACCATGCTTAAGGTTTTCTTGATCAATGCTCCAGAAATTTCGCCCAATGCATGTTTTGCTCAAGAGTTTTTCATTCATGAATTCTCAGCTTTGGAGTCATCTGTGCTTCTCATCATGTCTTTTGACAGATTTGTTGCCATCTGTAACCCTCTGAGATACACCTCCATTTTTACCAATACCAGGGTCACTCAGATTGGGCTTGCCTTTGCTCTCAAGAATGTTTTGTTGATCCTGCCTTTCCCTTTAACTCTGAGACATCTAAGATACTGTAAGAAGAACCTCCTGTCCCATTCCTACTGCCTCCATCAGGATGTCATGAAGTTGGCCTGTTCTGACAACAGAGTCAATGTCGTCTATGGCTTATTTGTGGCTCTCACGGGCATCCTGGATATAACATTTATTTTTGTATCCTATGTGATGATTGTGAAAGTGGTGTTGAGCATAGCCTCCCAGAAGGAAAGGCTCAAGGTCTTCAACACCTGTGTCTCCCACATCTGCGCTGTGCTCATCTTCTACATTCCTGTTTTCTCCCTTGCTGTTATCCACCGTTTTGCCAAAAATTGCTCTCCAATGGTCAGGATCCTCATGGCTGATGTTTTCCTGATGGTGCCTCCATTGATGAACCCCATTGTCTACTGTGTAAAGAGCCAACAGATAAGAAATCTGGTCTTAGAGAAACTGTGCCAGAGCAAAACTCACAGGGATTCTTAATCAAGTGAAAACTCAATCAGTAAGTGACACCAGAACAAGTAGGATGATTCATTCAACAACCACATTATATTCTTCTCCCTAACATCTGTCAAGTTTATAAGCATGGAAGAAGAATCACCCTTGTGAATCTGTTGGTTTAGGATTTAGGATTCCGTTCCTGATGTAAACATTGAAGACATTCTACTTTTCCCAGGAGAGAAGTTGGAGGGGGGGGGGGGGTAGAAGGGGGAGGAGGTGGGAGAGAGGGAGATTTCTTTAATCACAGAATAACAATTTTCTCTAGGCTTAAAGGAATATTCAACATATTCATTTTGAAAATCATAATATACATTTATATGATTATTTGATAATGAGAAGAAGCAATCAAAGCCTGCATTTACATTTAAACTATTTAAAGTTTAAAGTATTTCTTTTCAATACATAGTTTTGATCTCTTTGAGATATGTTCATACCTCTCAGAAAGTAAAATGAAAATGGGTAATGGCACACATGCAGAAGAAACTCAAGCAAACAAATATGCAACCTGAACTATATAGGAATGAAATAAACACTTCTCATAGTGTTTCTTCCTTCTCCTTCTACTACGTATCTTCACTATCTTCCCTTCAGTTCTCCTGAGCCTTTCCACATGACATTTATAAATACCTACCTCGTCCATTTCTTTGACTTCTTTTGCCAGATTCTTTCCTTCTGCCGGTAGTCACTGTAGTATTAGAACACCCACCCACATTTATCAGGAGCTCTCAAAGGAAGCAGCTCACATGCACAAAACAAGAATCTGTAGCCCAAAGATAAAATAATCTAGTTAGAATGGATTGTCTATCCAATTTCCATCTGAAGGCACTAGGGCAGCTGCTTTATGGCACCTCCATCTAACAGTTGGTCCTCAGCCTCCGATCAGAAAAAAAGAACCTCTTAGATTGTTCTCCATGAATACTTCTGTAATCAATACTTAGTGCTCATTCAGTCAGTTACCTTGGCTTGCCACATTTTTGTTGGAACATCATTTGGATAAAAGTTTAACAAAGAATGAAGTTAAGAGATCATTATTTTGCAATACATGATTGAGTTTGTGTTGCCATGTTGTATTGATTCAGAATTAAAATTTTAAGTGGAATTTTATATGATGTCCATTTACATGTGTCTGCACATTTATGTATGTACATGTTATGTAGATGTGATATTTCTGAGTCTAGATGGTATCACCAAATTAATTTAAACCTCTCAAAGATATTCTATTCAAAATGGATTTTCAATAAATCAATGTCTAAATAAATATTTCTATAAATGTAGAAATCAACTCAAATTTTAAAATAGGACTAGTTTGATATTATAGATTTAATTTGAATATGGCATACTTACTGAGTTATCAGCTCTAACTATAATAGAGGCATGGATTTTGTTTTATTTCATTAACTAGAGAGTTGGATCATGTTTTAAACCAAACCTATGTTTTAAAGATTACTCTTTTGTGATAATTGCCCAACATGCGTGTGATGTAAAAATCGTTAAAAGGAGCCAGGTACTGCTGTCCACTCAGCAGGCTGAGAAATAAGTATCTCAGTATAAAGATAGTTGAAGCAGATAAATATCCACAAGATTCATATGTCCAGTTAACTTGCAAAAATCAGAAGTAGAGGTATATACAGGTCAGGTGGTAGGGTACCATTCCTGAGCAAAAAGGATACCAGGATGAGAGGCCTTGGGTTTAAGCTCCAGTAACAACACAGTGTGTTTGATTCTATTAATAAACGCATTTTCACATATTTAAAATTGTACTATGAGGGATCCTATGATGCTAAATGCTGTGCAATTAGTGAACAATTTATTATCCCATTACAGAATCCTACCTTATGACAGACAATTCACAAGTTTTAAACTGGTATTTTTTTTTTTTTTGCAAAAGGAAGTTTACTCATAGATAAGAAATACAATCAATATATGTAGACGAAACTAGTAAAAATCATAAGAGAACAACTCAAAAATGGGCTAACAACATGGAAATGGTTCTTGATAAGGCAACATATGAGAAATGAATGATGTGATTTTATTCAAGGAAGAACTATCTAACTTTATTTCAAAGGAGAATGTTTGGATGTTCCAAAATAAGAATATGAAAACTTTATGTTGACATTTTATTTATTTATTTATTTTCTTATCTAGTTATTTATATTATCTTAAAGTACAAAATGTTTGCAATTCAACAAGTTAGTTTGTGAGTAAAATACATCTTGATCAAATCACCACTTTCGTTATTCTCTCCAATCTTTCCAACATTACCCATTCTCTCAATTTATCTAGTTCTGTTTTCACATATGAACATAGAATGGCTGTATCTGCACACTCTTCCTCTCTTCATTCATCTGTCCTTTTTTTTTTTTGGTATGGTCATGGGGCCTGAACTCTGGGCCTGGGCCCTGTCCCTCAGCTCTTCAGCTCAAGGCTAGCGCTCTACCACTGGAGCCACAGCGCCACGTCCGGCTTTTTCTGTTTATGTGGTGAAGAGGAATCAAACCCAGGGCCTCAGGCATGCAAGGCAAGCGCTCTACCACTGAGCCACCTTCCCAGCCCCTAAAATTTCTTTACTATTTTAATAACCTGCCTAGGAAACCAAAATTTTGTGAATTACTTATATTATGTGCTTTATTCTTTCCTTATCACATCCCGATTGTTTCAGAGAACTGTGACTTCTCACTTCTAAAAGGGTTGTCTCTTTTTATTAAACATTCTTATCTTTGAAATGATTATATATATCATGGCTTTTCCTTCAGTGTCCTCAGTGCTGGTACTTTGAAATTATATCACACACACACAAAATTATATCACATACACACATATGAAATTATATTATACATATATAAATACATGAAATCTTCTCTCTCTCTCTTTCTCTCCCCACCATAATGAGATTTACCAACACTCTTCAAAAAAAATAGGAGAGGAGGAAGGAACAAGAGTTAGGTGGAGGGGATGAATTTGTTCATCATGCCCTGTGAGCATGTAGGGAAATCTTACAATAGTCAAAAAATTGCAAATGAATACTAACTCAAAAATAAATGAGAAGAAAGGAGATTAATGAAGATCCTTAATATTTTCCTCAATCATTTACCTTGGTAAGATTACAATTTCATTTTGAAGCCTTCCCTCATCATGTCCAAACTAGACAGATCTTACTTTCTACTGAACATAAATCTTCCTCTCTTCCTTCTTACATATCATGTACATTTCCTTGTAATCCTAGCATGCTAGTCATCACTTGTATACACATAACTTGTGTGTGTGTGTGTGTGTGTATGTGTGTGTGCGCGCACGCGCGCGCCAGTCCAAGGGCTTGCACTCAGGACCTGGGGGCTGTCTCTGAGTTGTTGCTCAAGGCTATTACTCTTGTGCACTTGAGCCACAGCTCCCCTTCCAGCTTTTTAGGTGCTTAGTTGGAGATAGTCTCATCGACTTTCCTGCCCAAATTGACTTCAAACCATGATCCCCAGGTCTCAGCCTCCTGAATAGCTAGTACCATTGGTGTGAGCCACCAACTCCCAGCTCTTTTGATCTACAATACTGCACACATTTATTCCGTGATCCGTGCACAAGCATCACAGATCCCCTTAGATAAGGCTGCCCCAGAACCCTGAAGTACAGGGTGGCAATGTAGCAGCCATGCCCAGTTGTTTTAATGAAACTTTCTCTAATACTTTACAAAACTGAAAAATTGGGGACAGATTTTTGAACTAGGATGGATTTCTCCAGTTAACATTTGACTTTTTTTTTCTTGAGTCTTTGGTAATAGGGTTTGTATTATCCTTCCAGCCATTCCTCCTGCCTCTGTCCTCAATTAAAGATCCTGTGAAACCCTTAGGGAATTCTCTTCCTCAGCAGAAGCCTCTGAAGAGATGTTCCTGGACACTTAAAAGGATCTTGCATTTTAGACAGAGAATATTCTTGAAGCTGAGCTACCACCTGGCCTGAAGTCTTTGTTGGAGCTCCCCAGCCCAGCCCTTTTGCTATTGTGCAGGTATGTAATGCACACAGGATCATCTAAAGAACAGTCGGTAGTCTGATGATGACTCCAGCCATGGAAGCACGCCCACAAACTGAGCCCTCGGCCCCAGCCATCCCCTTATCACTGCTCAAAGGAGTTTGAATAGCAAATGAAGTTGGTATAGGAGCACTGTGGCTATAGTCCTAGCTCTATAGTTGTGTGTCGTGATCATGCTTTTGTTTAATCTCCCCTGCCTGCCATCTCTTTTGTGATTATTCAGAACATGGTCCACATCTTTAAATTTACAATTGAAATCTCTATCTTCCTTATCTTAAACTTGTATCCAAATATTACAGGGGATCTGACAGCACTTTAAAATGTTGAAGCTCTCTACTAATATAGAACGGAAATGTGTAGCGTGTCAAACTACGTAGTAAAAACAAATAATACTAAATACCACTGGGCATCAGTGGCTTATGCCTGCAATCCTAGCTACTCAGGAGGCCAAGTTCCGAGGATCACAGTTCAAAGCCAGCTCAGACAGAAAAGTCCATGAGACTCTTATCTCTAATTAATTACCAAAAAGCCAAACGTGGAGCTGTGACTCAAGTGGTAGAGCACTAGCCTTGAGTGAAAAAGCTAAGTGACAAAGCCTAGGCCCTGAGTTCAAGCCCCAGTATCAGCACACAAAAAAAGCACAATGTCTTCTTGAAACTTACCTTACTTCATCTTTTTATAATCAATAATAACTTGATTTCATTGACATTACATCCTTTGTTTTCCTGTTTCCCTGATTCTCTACTTCTTATCTCCTTTTTCTTTCTAATTTTATGCTCTCGCCTCATTTAAATAGTTTCCAGTCATTGTATTGGTAAGCAATTCTCCCTAAACTTATGGCAGCTATCTTATAATTCAAGCTCTCAGTTAAGTGAGAACCCAAACCAAACATTCTCTCTGCATTCTCTCCCCAAGAATTCCTGCTGACTTGCATTCCACATATTGCAAACTTAACTCATTCCCTGAAATGTTTCCTCTTTACTGTTAACCAATGCCAGTTTACTTACTGTTGTTAATATAGTAGAGGTCTAAGAAAACCATGAGGTTTGTTCTCACTTTTTAATTTCAGCTTGTTAATTAGCTAACTCTTATAACAGCTAATTTTCTTTTTCTGTTGTTGTTGTTCGGTGTGTGGCTTGAACTCTGGACCTGGGCACTGTCCCTGAGCTCTTCAGCTCAAGGCGAAAGCTCTACCAGTTGAGCCACAGTTCCACTTCTGGTTTTCTGGTGGTTAATTGGAGATAAAAGTCTCATGGAGTTTCTTGCCCGGGCTGGCTTTGAACCACTATATTCATATCTCAGCCTCCTGAGTTGCTAGGATTGCAAGTATGAACCACGGGCATCTGGCATTAGCAGCCAATTTTTTCTATGCAATACTAATAGGAAATATGGTATAAAGAGATGATACAAATAACATAGACTCCGTACAGCACAGTCAAGGTTTGAATTTCAAGTTCAAGACTTCTCTTACTTGCTCTGTAACTTAACCTAGATCATTTTACCTCTCTTTTCCACAGTTTTCTCCACTGTGATATCCTCTTAAGACCAGATTGAATCTGACAACACTACAGTGTTCCTAAGAATTGAACTGGTCTGATAGCACTGAGGTACTCTTATCATGGTTGACATGATTCACTCCACATTAGTGTGTAGAAAAGTAGCTGCTATATAACATGATATATGTTGATCTATTGTAAATTTTTACAAATATGATAAATAATACACTGATCACTTGCATATATAGCACACAATAGAATGCTTTGCAACTTAGCTATGAAGGCAGAGCAAATGAAAGTCCAAGTCTGGTATTAGAAGAAAGCATAACCATCTAAACTTCAGAGTCATAGCTAACTTTAGATTATCACTCAGGTGTCTCTAGACATCGTGTTCTCATTCTAAGCTAAACAAAGTCTTTTTTCCACTCTAGCAGTTTTCTTTTCTGCACACTTTCTTTTCATCCTCATCTGTAATTGCTTAACCATTCATTTGCAGACCCATCTCTTCTGGCATCTTTGAGGAATAAGTCTCAAAGCCACCTGTCTTAGAATTCTTTCTTTCCTGAAGTCTCGACTGTTTTACAAGGCTACTCAGTTCTAAGCTTTAGATTTATGAAACTCATGCATGAATTTTGCCCTCCATCAAAATGTCAGGGAGAAATATAGAGATTCCTTTCATTACTTTTCATTAAAGTGACCAAATAGCTTTTACATATACATTTCTGGAAGAAAATTCTCTGTAAATGGAATGTTTTGCTTCTTAATATATTCCTGCTTCATTTAAACCAGGATTGCTTTTTTTATGTCTTTCCATGTTACTGTCTGTTTGTCTTTCAAAATAATCCCATATGTATGTTATTCCTAATAGTGAAACCAACAAAAGTAATATTCCATCCATCTGTTCAAAGAAAAAAATACAATTTGCCTCCTCATCCATGAGTGTTATGTAAATTCAGAAAACACTCATCACTCCGATTGTGTGTGTCAAGTTCAAAGATTTCAAGATTCACCAAACTTTTTCTAGTATCCTTTGTAGACTCTTAACCTTGGAATGAAACAACATACCCAGGCAAATTACAACTATATTTGAAACCACATTCTACATACCTGTTCCTAGTAGACAATTATGCAGGGTAGTGTATAGTGCCAATTCTCCCACATTGGTAATACAGATTATGAATGTTTTACTCATTGAGTTGGAGAATTTTTCAGGGTAAAAAAAAATACTACCTATGGTGACCCTGTTGAATCTGAGACCAACATTAGTGGATGTTCTACCATAAGTGACAATAAGGGTATTTGGGGAGCTATAATAATCCACTATCAAAATCCTTTCCCAGTCTCTCTGAAAAAGCTAGTAGAGGGGGCTGGGAAGGTGGCTCCATGGTAGAGTGTTTGCCTTGCATGCATGAGGCCCTAGGTTCAATTCTTCAGCACCACATAAGCAGAAAAAGCCAGAAGTGGCACTGTGGCTCAAGTAGTAGAGCGCTAGCCTTGAGCTGGGGGACAGTGCCCAGACCCAGAGTTCAGGCCTCACCACCGATCCCCCCCCAAAAAAGCTAGTAGAAAAGGCGCCCAATTCGTTCCTATACACCCTGCAGACCCCTCCTGACTCATTTCTCCTGGCATGTTTAGGTCACTGAGCATTCAACCTTGGCAACCCCCTGGGATCCAATTCTGCATCTCAGGTTGGTGAAAACAGATTCGAAATCTATGGCCATTCTTTACAACAGTAGCCTCCAAAAAGCCACTTTCTTCCTGACGGGCTTCCAAGGTTTGGAACATGTGCATGGCTGGATCTCTATTCCCTTCTGCTCCATCTACTTGACAGTGATTTTGGGGAACCTTACCATCCTCCATGTCATCCGCACTGATGCCACCCTACATGAACCCATGTACTATTTTTTGGCCATGCTGGCCCTCACAGACTTGGGTCTCTGCCTCTCCACATTGCCCACCGTGATGGGCATTTTCTGGTTTGACGCCAGAGAGATTGGCATCCCAGCCTGCTTCACTCAGCTCTTCTTCATCCACACTTTGTCTCTAGTGGAATCATCCGTTCTACTGTCCATGTCCATCGATCGCTATGTGGCCATTTGCAACCCACTGCGTTACTCCAGCATCCTGACTCCAGCACGTATTATCAAGCTGGGGCTGAGTTCCGTGTTAAGAAGCGTCGTGCTCATCCTCCCCCTGCCGTTCCTCCTGAAGCGCTTCCAGTATTGCCGCTCCCATGTGCTGGCGCATGCCTACTGTCTACACCTAGAGATCATGAAGCTGGCCTGCTCCAGCATCCTTGTCAATCACATCTATGGGCTCTTCGTGGTGGCCTGCACGGTGGGCGTGGACTCGTTGCTCATCTTCCTCTCCTATGCCCTCATCCTCCACACGGTGCTGAGCAAAGCTTCACGACAAGAGCGCTTGCGGGCGCTCAACACCTGTGTCTCGCACATCTGTGCCGTCTTACTTTTCTACATCCCCATGATCGGCTTGTCCCTCGTGCATCGCTTTGGGGAACATCTGCCCCGCATCGTACACCTCCTCATGTCTTATGTGTACCTGCTGGTACCACCCCTCATGAACCCCATTGTCTACAGCATCAAGACCAAGCAAATCCGCCAAAGGATCTTGAAGAAGTTTGCATTTGTAAAGTCACTGAGCTGTTTCCATCAGGATTAGGTTAGGGGGAATGGAGGGAGGCTTGCCATAGATCGCCCGCAACTGTTTTTGCTTTCAGTTGTGCAACAGGGGAAAAGCATGCTCTCAATTGTTAAGGAGAGCAAAAGTAAAAATAAAAGTATGCTTCCTAGGGCCTAGATGGTTTTGAAAGAGTTACCTGCCTGGCTGCAGTTTTCTCAGTTGAAGGATAAGCCCAAAAATAATTATAATACTTCCTTCTTTATCTTTGTTTCTGAAGAATACATTCATGTAAATCTCTAACCCAGTGCTTTTTGCAAATACACAATCTTCAATAAATATTACCTATCATTATTTAAAACACAAAATCCAAAGATGACATAAGTTTTATCTTTCCATCCCCCTAGTCAATGGATTGATTGTACTTTTTAAATGTATATTTTAATTTAGTTCATTGCATTATTATAATCACAGTTTTTCTTGGTTTATAACCTAGTTTGACATATCCACACTTACCCCAGCCAGTCACATTCACAATATTAGAAAAAGAAGCATATATCCTAGTTTGTGGAAAGGCAATTAGAAAAGAGGCTGTTGACCTAGATTAAGGAGATGAATATGATTGAAACAATACAAAAATATACATAGATAATCCTCAAAAGAGGAAATTAAAGGGTTATCAACTCATCATCTCAGCAACTAGTGAAAGGATTTCACTTTTTTCTTTAGTCACTATATATTACACAGGTGGAATGGTAGAGGAAAATGCACATTGTTTTATTTCTTTACAAGATGTTTCTCTCATCTGTATGTAGCAATACCAAACAATGTGCACACACATATGCACATATAAACAGACAGTTGCTGGTATTTCTTAATGTTTTTAAATTTCTGTGTGTGTATATATTTACTGTGCCATATTTGTTTGTATTGGTACATGTGATCCAATTAACCAGGGCAGGTTTTGTTTACTTTTTAATTATCTTTTTATTATCTTTATAGATAGTTGTTACAAAGCAGTTCCCATTCAACAAACCAGTTTATAACTCCAACACATCTTGATCAATGTCACCTTTTTCCTCATTCTCCTTCCCTCCCAACCCAAATTCTCTGTTTTCTTAATTTCATAGGACATGCACAGAATTTTATGTCTTCATTCTTCTCCCAATTCCTCCTTACCTTGAGACACCCACCCCCATCTTTTCAATGCCAGTTTCCTGGTATTCATTTTGTCAGACTGGGGAAAATACACTGTTTTAATTCTTCCCTGCAAGTTCCATATTTCAGTTAATATAACTGGCCATTTAATGGACTCATTTCTGTGCATTACCACATACACTGGAACACATAACAACAAAGTACAAGACTTTATACTCTCATGTAGGTAGATGCATCCTCTTGGAGGACTTTACCTAAAACCAGGAGAAGGCAAAAAGTTTGGCTCAGAAATCTTTCCTTTCATTATTTTAGCCTAACTCTAGATACCAAAAAGGAATCCACTGGCAGAGAAACACAAAGATGTAACATTTCACCATGATAAGAAGATTAAGCAATAATCAGTTTTAGATCCTCTTCTATCCCTGTGAGGAAGCAATAAAAAGAAATCAATAAGAATAATCATACTTGTATAACTTCACAAGATCACATATAGATATGAATATCCAGTAAGACAAAGCTCAAATCTTTCAAATACGTAGGATCATATATACATGCATACTAATAGATTTCTACTCTTCCTTTACACTGGCTCCTTTGTGGTTTAATCACTATGAGATTGTTGCAGATTCCACACTTTCTCCCTGTTCAGTAATCATGATGTCCTTAAAACACTAGGGAGTAACTTCTCTCTCTTCAAATGAGAATTTCATTACTCATTGTTTCTAGAGTCCACCAGTAGGGATGTTTTTGACCAGGAGCTGATCACAAATCTAATAAACCTCCAAACATGAACTTTATAACACTGTGCACTTTTGACTTTGTGAACTATGGTTTTCCCACATAGTCTGTTTTCTACCTAAAAACTTGTCATGGCTAAGATATAAAGCAGACAACATTGCCTTTCTTGCAATATAAATCAACTGCTATTATTTAATTAAGGATGTAAAGAGATTAATCCTCTCATTCTGTAAAATTATGTGTGTGGCTGTGTTGTTTCTCTCTTCTTTCATTCAAACCTAGCCAAACATATCTAATACTAGTTTTCTCCTTTGAGAACTCGGTCTTGGCGACTATAAATACATATTACTGGGGGATAAAAATAAAAGATATCCTTTCATTGTATACAAAGTATCTTTTTGTTACAAGATACATGAATGAATGGGTGAAAAGATTATGAGTAAGTAGGCTATGGGTTGTTCCTCTCCTCAATTCCTTCCTTGCAAGAACTTAAAAATGTACCCATACTTGGATATGTGTTTGGTCTTAAAGAAGTAATTAAGTTTAAAAAATGGTAGGGCCAAAGTCTAATAAAACTGGCTTTCTTATAAGCAGAGGAAGTTAGCGTATGTGGAGAGAAGCCCGTGTGGCCAGACACAGAGAAAAGTCCGTGTGTGGACGGTGAGGAGGTGGTGACCAGCTACAAACAAAGACAAGAGGCCTCAGAAAACATCAAACCTGTCAATCCTGCCATCTTGGATTTCACCAACCTTCAGAACTATGAAAATAAAACACTTCTAATGTTACTTAATCTATGTTATTTTTAGATCAGCCTTAAAATTAAGGTGGGTTAATATGATCAAAATACTTTGTGTACTTGTGTAGAGAAAAGGTGAGAATGATAAAATGGGTGAGAGTGAGCAAGACACATTTTACTCACAGACTGACACATTGAATTGAGCACCCTTCGTACAACTATTTAAAGATAATAAAATATAAACAAACAAACAAATTAATTAATTAATGGAACAATGAGACTTGAGATTTATTTGGGAAGTAGGAGGGGATTGAGGGAGAGTGGCTAAGGGGGGGGTCAAACTAGGTTGTATGCATATATAGACATGTCAAACTAAGCCTCCATATGAAACTAATTAAGTTAATAAATTGTAGAAATACTAATTTAGTTAGTAATTGTAATTTGGAATGATTGTAGGCTAAACATGAAGATGTATAATTTATCACAAAAGAAATTGAAAATTCTGTGGCCAGAGTTGTAGCATCCCATAAGAAAAATGCCTAACTTCTATAATGACCATAAATAACATAACCATAAATAACTATCTATGAAGATACCATATTCTGTATTTTAACAAGCATCACAGAGATTCTGATGCAGGTTGTCTGGGGATAAAACATGTAAAACACTGTCTCATCACACTTGTATACAGAATGTACTCAACCAGACTATTAGATTGAGGCTCTAAGAGAAAATACCCACAATTCCAAAGAAACTATCCACATTCCAAAGAGACTCCTTTCTCACTAGTCTTCCTTGGGCCTCATTATTCCCAGCCTGTGCTGAGGACATTCTACTCTTTTCTGTAAGATCAACTGTTTTGGATTCTACCTGAAGTGATACCACATCTTGTTTATTCTCTGGACTTACCTACCAAAAACATTTTTTAAATACCACATGCACACTGTCACATACAAAGAGCATAAATGTTAAGACACTATATCACACATAAATAAAATATAAACAACATCCATTCTGCTTTCCTGAAGTTAAGGAGAATGTGGAAATTTTTCTCCATATCTTTGCGCAGTAGTAAGGACAGGTGCATGGCACTTCCTGAACTTCCCACCCAGACAGCTCACAAGGTTTCTCTCCTTTCTTCCCTTTCCCTTATCCCTACAGTCTGAGTTAATGAGGCCCAGGGGCCCAGTCAAGGTTCTAGTGGTTGCATAAAATCACAGATTTAAGTATTCACTCTCTAGTCTTTCCACACCCATCCTGGCCTCTATTTTCAGCATTATTCTGCCTCACTGTGAGGTCTGCAGCCTCTGGACCAAGGTATGTGATGATGTGATACAGTAGGCAGGAATTTGGAATTCATTGTGGAATCAACAGGAGGTCCAAAACACTCATCCCAAAGCTTTGTGTAGGCAGTTGGAGATGAGGGGCTTTGGCCACAATAAAAAGCTACAAAGGGTGCATGCTGAAGAGGCCAGCTGTTATAAGTTCTTCCTTACTTCACATGATCCCAGTTCTTAGCACTAGCTCAGAAAGACAATAGCTTTCTCACAACCATCTGCTGACTTAATTTACTGTCAAGAGAGGTTTATTCTATATGGTAAACAGCAGAAATACTGGGACTCAGGAGGTGATGACATGACATGCATTTGGTTATTACAGGCTCACCATCTACCACTTATTCCCAGGCAAAGGCTAATAGATTTGTGAGCTCTTTTTTTTTTTCACAAGGGAAAAAATATAGAAGGGTCAGAAGCAATCTAAACCTTTGGTTAAAAAAAAAACTGTGTGTGTGTGTGTGTATCTGTCACATAAAAATATTTCCTTGAATAATCATGTAGTCTAAGCAATTGAATCAAAAGCCATTGCACTTACTGAACTCCTTTCAGAAAAAATGTCTCCAAGCAGAGCAATTGGATAGAAATGTACACCCTCATCCCACCCAACGCTAAGCAATTATTTCAGTACTAGTCAGGAACAATGAAATTTTCCCCCATTAGAAATCATTTCAAAACAACTTATTTTTGCTGATATTTGTTAGTCTTTATTTCGTTTCTTTATACTCTGTGCTTTTTTTTTTTTTTTTTGGGTCCGGTCGTGGGGCCTGAACTCTGGGCCTGGGCACTGTCCCTCAGCTCTTCATCTCAAGGCTAGCGCTCTACCACTTGAGCCATAGCGCCACTTCCGGCTTTTTTCTTTTTGCTTATGTGGTGCTGAGGAATCAAATACAGGGCCTCATGCATGCAAGGCAAGCGCTCTACCACTGAGCCACCTTCCCAGCCCCTACTCTGTGCTTTTTACTCCTTTACTTCTAATAACTAACTATAAGGTTAATTTGTTCTCCTTTTTTGCTTTTTACTGTGGTATAATGTTTATTTTGTAGAGTTTACTTGTTTTTACAGCTTTAGTAAGT